GTTTTCTTTATTTGATATTCGTACTTTGAGTTTTATCGTTTTACTTTTCGTGAGAGAGAACCTTCTAGAAGCTTCTACTTGCAGCACGCACCAAAAGTGTTCTTTAGTTTTTGCTAAGCATTAAATTTGTGAGTTAATAAAGATAGTTAAGTTTTATTATATCTATATGTGGAGTTTTACTACCCCCACATAATTGGTGACCCCTACAGTTTGTAATACACGTGAAATGGAGCCAGGGCAAACCGATACTGGAAAAACCAACGATATGGCCCAAGCCGCACACAGCGGAGCCTCCAACGATGAGTTTTTCGAAGCGTTTAGCCCTTCCCAGCTCCAACAACCCCCAGCCACGCACATCGACCGGTTTGAGCGACTAGAATTGCCACCTTTTTGGAGCCAGCAAATTCAACTGTGGTTTGTCGCAATCGAGGCGCAGTTTCAGCTTAGGAAGATTACTGCGGACACAACTAAATATTATGCAGTGGTCGCCCGCCTCGACCAAGACTCACTCATCACGGTGGAAAGCATTATTTCAAATCCACCCGAAACAGATAAGTATGCTACATTAAAGGAGGCACTTATCAACCACTTTGCAATTCCTCAGGAGCGCCGCTTTAAGATGCTGTTATCTGGTATGGAGCTGAGAGAACGACGCCCCTCTGAACTCCTGGCAGAAATCAATCGGCTGGGAGGAAACCATTTGGACGCAGCATTCGTCCGCACTATCTGGCTCGACCGTCTTCCGCTGCAGATTCAGTTGGCCCTCACTGCCACGGGTGAGCTGGACAACGCTAGGCTTGCACAATTAGCAAACAATCTTATGGAGATTCAGCGCAACTCCGAAAACCACTGCGTAATGCCAGTCGCTCACAAGTCTGACAGTAGTAGCGGAATGCAAAAACAACTCGACGACTTAGCGAAGCAGGTCGAGAAACTAGTACTCAAACTTAACCAATCAGCGTCGGTCGAGAATAGTCGTAAGCACCCTAACAACACGGCGAACGTATCGCGCAGCACTGACGCTAGCGCCACACCATTAAATTGCTACTACCACCGCAGATTTGGTGCACGTGCCAACAAGTGCACACAACCTTGCGCTTTCCAGGGAAACACAAATCGCCCCCAGTAGACACGGCGGATACTGGTGGCAAGACAATACCCCGCCGATTATTCGTATACGACCGCACAATAGGGACGAAATTCCTCGTCGACACCGGCGCGGATATTTCGGTTACCCCACCTTCTCGTAAAGACAAAACAACACCAACGCACTTTCGACTCCAAGCAGCAAACGGAAGCAAAATAGAAACTTACGGCGAGAAAGTGCTCGTCCTCAACATCGGGCTACGGCGACCGATCCGTTGGGTATTTCGCATAGCTAACGTGCCTTACCCAATTATCGGTGCAGATTTGATCCATGAATTTGGTCTTATAGTGGACCTCAAATGCGGTCGCTTAATAGACCCTAACTCAGGATCGCATAGCATAGGCTCGTATGCCACCGCTCCTGTCACAGCTGTCACAGCCCTCACCGAGGTTAACAAATTTACGGCTATCCTCAAGGATTTCCCGGAGCTTCTCGGCAATCCTTCCAACCGCACGGCAACCAAGCATGCCGTCAAGCATTTTATACCAACCACTGGGCCGCCAAGTGTTCAACGCGTCCGTCAATTATGCCCTGAGCGCCTCAAAGTTGCCAAGAAAGAATTCCAACTCATGGTCGAGTTAGTGAAAACAGTGCTGCCAGATGCGATGCTTTAATGCTAAGTTCCCACAAACGCACTTAATTTCTTGCGAAAGGCACAAAGTTATATCGATGTCAAATTTGCACATATACAAGCATGGACAGAGAGTGAGCGCCTGTTTAAAGAGCGTAAACATCTCATGCAAATACAAGCGAGAGCGTAACAAAGCGGACGCAAATTCATACAAACGTAATTCGCACACTAACACAATCACGCTTTCAGCTCGCGTTTACTTGGGGTAGCGATCACATCTGCTCATATACACTCCTCGTCATTTGAATTGCACACCCTTTCAATTCTTAGTATTTACAGTTTTCCGTTTGTTTATTTAATATAAATTTTTTGTAAAAATATCGTCACTACATACGAATAAAGGCGCGCTGGTGTTTTCACGGTGAAAAAAAGCGTTTAAAAAAATTTAGCAAAAAAAGATGGTTATAAAAAACTTTGGCGAAGTATGTTAAGAGTATTTGACGCTGAAATTTTTTTATGCGTCTTTTTTCGCCGTCAACTTTTGAGCTCGCGCCTTTATTCGTGTCTAGTGACGATATAGCATATTCTACGGGTAAATGCAATTTTAAAATTTTTTACAAACTAAAACTTAAAAGAAAGTTTATTTTCCATTTCTTGGGCAGCATTTTATATGATTTTTTCGTTTTTCTCGAGAGCTGGAAACAGTTCTTAAAAAAGGTCAACATAGGAGTGTGCCATCCTAATGACCTGCAGTGAATAAGTTAATAATATTTTTAGAAAAATTTCTGATATGCAGTTTTGTAGCCCATTCAATTATAGTGTAATTAAGTGCAAGTTTGAAGTGACTCTAAAACAGCCCCGATTTTTCAAATTCATTTATTTTTTATTGACAGTGCTGCGCATTTTATTCCATATAAAAGTTTTGTCGAGCATACTTTGTATGAGAGAAAATGCGCAGCACTATCACCAAAAAAATTGTCAAAAATCACCGCTATTTTACAGACACTTGAAACTTGCACTTTATTGTACCCCTTTGTTGACATTTTTTTAACTCTGTATAAAGTTTAAATAAACAAAATTAAAAGTGTAAATACTAAAGATTAAAAAGTTGAGCTATTCAAATGACGAGGAGTGTATGTGGCGTACGTTTGGGAGAGTGAGCCTTTTTACTCCAGAATGCGTGTGCAGTGGCTCTCAATGCTATACGTGTATTAGTAAGATTTGTTGCCCCCTTCCCGTTTGCCCATGATTTTCCCCTGATCAAGCCCGCGAAATGGGCTCGCTTGCCCGTACGGGCAAAAAAGCCCATACGGGCAAAAAAGCCCATACGGGCAAAAGTGCCCATGTCTGGTTTACAATATACCCAAATAAAAGTTATAATATTTTGTATACTTTATTGTATTAAACTATCGAAGTCAAATAAAACAGGGCATGAATAAATCGTTTTGTATTTGGTGAAGTCTGGTCATTTTCGAACTAGTTCGGTTTCTGTCAGGGAATTCTAGTTGTAAACTAGTATTTTTCCTGACTAGTTTGGGATTTCATTACACGGTATTTATCCGAGCTTCTCCTTCGATTTGTGGCGTGCGCCTTGATGTTGGCACACATAGGGGAGGAACCTATAGTTTTACGCCGACTCCGAACGGCGATTGTATTTTTCTGAGAAGCTGTTTTTCATGGCAGAAATACGCTCGGAGGTTTTCCATTGCCTGCCGAGGAGCGACCGTTAGAAAAACGGAACCTGCGCACTTCTAACCACTACACCACAGCGGAGTATATACCATTATATAAAACCAGCCAATTCCCCCTTGCTTCGCGGCGCCTGATAAGTATTAGCCATCGCAAAAATTATATTTGAAGGAAAAATCGGTTTGTAAAGTAAAAATTGCTAGTTTAGGTTGAAACAACTAAAGAGCAGAACGGCCCTCCACATAAGCCAAGAATAGTAGCTCTGTGATATCATATGGAATACTAATCCCTTTCCCATTATTTGATCCGATGCGTCATGCAAGCCAATAAAAGTCCTTATAAGACAACTGAAGAGCACAGATGTGTTTTTTCTATGATACTAGGGCCACGACACTTCACTGTTTCACATGATGAATAGTTCTCCGGTACATGAGCTAAATGAGTCGTGTGATCTCTTGAATATCGTTCAAATTAAGACATTGTTATACGAATACTTACAGTGCTCTTTCTTGGAAGGATATGGTCGAATCGGGGCACCGAAATTGCGCATATGGAAACTGTGCATTTAGACATTATTTCGGTTTCAACCGAAACTGTGCATGTATGCTTTATTTCGGTTTTT